TTGTATACTTCCTAGAAAATCCTATATTTTCTACTAAAATGAAAAGTAGTCTTCTACCAAGACTCAACTGTTTTGTATGTTTATTTCTCTTTTGAAAAATGATGTAAGATGTATGTTTGTACTTGTAATAGTATAAATGTGGGTTTTCCATATATGTAAAACTATCTTTACACGAAAAATAGTACACATTTCTTATGTGAGAATATCACTGTATGAATGTAATGGAAAAAAGAAGATGTACACTAGTGTTTGTATAAAAATACTCTACTGAAGCACTAACTACCTTAAAAATTAAATTGTTAATTAAGGTAAAAATGTGATTGAGTTATAACCATGCTTGACTGACTAGATAAAACACAACATTCTTCAGACATTGAAAATTGTATGACATTTGTCACTCGTAGACCTATAGGTCCCACTCTAGCTAGCAGCAAGGTGTAGGATGGTCAATCCTGTATAGATTTATACACAAACTCATGCTCTCCCTCCAGGAGACTCTGGTTACAAAACATGACATAACAAGTATATTGTTATGCCATGAAATAGTGGCTTACATTTTAGTTATGTAATGAACCCTTAAACTATAACTATTATAGTTATACACAAACTCATGCTCTCCCTAAGCAGAAATAATGTCCCAAACTCTAGATATGGCCTCCCAAGGCTGAAATACCAAGTAAAGCTACAAGTTTTACGTCTATGCATGGCATCTAGGGCTCTAAATGCCATAATAAGCTCTATATGGGGTTTAATGCATAAAAGCTTGTCGCTAGCTTGATAAATCTTGCATCTTTGGGCTCAAAGGACCTCATATGGTCTAGATATGATGTTTCAACTTCATGTCATGCTCAAATGACTCAATAACCAAAAGAGGGATGGGAGAATGCCCTAAACTCCCTAGAAAGAGATCTAAAAAAAGAAATGATCAAGGTGGTAGTTTTTTACCTCTAAACAGAAGCTAACACTGGATCAAAAAGTGTCTCCTTGTTCCAAGCCTTGATGCTCTCCAACCTCCTTCCAAAAGTGCATAAGAATACCCAAATTTAGTCTCTCTCTCTCTCCCTTTCTCTCTCTCTCTCTCTCTCTCTCTCTCTCTCCCCCTCACACACACATACACACAACGAATGAAGCTTGTTTAGGGTTTCTCACATAGTTCTAAGGTGACAAGGGAGGCATATATAAAGGCTTATGGTCCTTTAAATATGACACAAACCCTGAAAATTAGGGTTTTCTCACTCTGTACCTACTCGTCGAGTTTGGGTCCTCTAACTCGTCGAGTAGACTCTAAAATTCACGCGGCCATTAACTTATCTACTCGGCAAGTTGGGGCATCCAACTCATTAAGTTGCTCTGAAATTATGAAAGTAAATTAATTAAATATTATACCTGGGATTCGGGATGTTACAAACGATGAGGGAGGCTAGAAACGGCCCATAAGTTTTTTAAATAGGGTGCAAACCCTAAAATTTAGGGTTTCCTCATTCAACTCCTACTCATCGAGTTGGGGTCCTCCAACTCGTCGATTAGACCTCATAAATCATGCGGGTTGGCTACTCTCTACACGACGAGTTGGGGGGCCTCCAACTCGTCGACCTCCATAGTTGCACTTCGTTTATCTATCACTGCATCTGCCAGCGTTCCTCAGCCTCTTCTGACGACACCATCAACCTTTTTAATCGTTGGTCAATATTTGCCGATGTTCCACAACAACGGATATCAGACCATGTGTCATGAAATCAAATTATATGTATGTGAAATCCAAATTTATATGTATAAAATCAGGTTATATGCTTATGAAATCAGATTATATGCTTTTGAAATAAGAAATTCTTGAAAGCCTGTATGATCTTTATATGAAATCATAACTTGTTGTGTTGTATGAAATTAAAATTTGATGAATGTCGTATGAAATCAGAATATGTTGTAGATGTTGGTAAAAATATGATGGAGTTGTCTTTGATGCCCTATTTGTCTTACTAAAAACATGAAAACCTTTAGCAAGTGTGTTGTATATTATTAAATCAAGCTTTACTCAATTGTTAACCATGTAAATGTATGCATCAGTACTCCAAACTTCAACATCAAACAGAAAATGGTTATTGCTTCTTGCATTAAGGATTGCTTATATAAACCATCTACAAATATATGATTTGTTTGTTTGCTTTCTTGGATTCCACTTATTTTGATGTCACTGTACACATCCCACATGCCTTTTGAGAATATGAAAAATGGACTAATGGAGTAGGTAACCATCAAATACTACAAAAGAAAGAATCAAGACTGTGATTTTTATTATTTCATATACAAAATCAAGGGAAATTGTATTTTCATTTACTTATGTATGACAACATATTATTTTAATTTCTTCATATTATAATAATATAATATTTAATATCAAACTTTTTTTTATTAGACTATCCGTTATACCTACCACATATTACATATGTAGTGGGTGTCACATCAACACCACATTTCCCTACTACTAACATGTGATACCTACCACTAACACACCACTCCACATCATTATTTTTATTTTTTTTAGTAAATACAATAAAATTACATTATTTTTATAATTAAAAAACATCCATTTTTTATAAACTAGTTTTTCATTAATTATAAAAATAAAATTACAACTTCAAACTACATTACTTAATTAATCTAGAAAAAAAACATTACATTAATTAAAAAAAACAAACAAACATACATATAAAAAAAACTAATATTCGTTCGTGTTACGTTGGTACAAATGTTCCGCGACATATTCTCGAAAATTTGAACACGTTTCACTATTATGAATTTCAACAATTCGCTCTAAAAAACTCATTCATTCCGGGTACAAACTCCTTAATTGGAATGATAACGTCGTTCGGATCATACGTGCAAATCGGTCGACCTTCATCTTCAATAATCATATTATGCATTATAATACATGCTAGGACCATTCGTTTAATTCTTTCTTTATCCCATAATCGTGTAGCATATTTCACTACATGTCATATCTGCTTAAGGACTCTAAATGCCCTCTCGATATCCTTTCTCGCTGATTCCTGTTTTTTTGTAAACAACTTTGCCTTTTCACTTCGAGGAACCGAGTATGCCTTCATCAATGTTCAATAATCCGGGTATATCCCATCACCAAGGTAGTAACCGTATTTGTATGCGTGCCCGTTCACCGTGAATGTCATATCAGATGCTTTGCCGGTCCAAATATCGTTGAAAAGAGGAGACTGACCAAGAACATTAATGTCGTTCTAAGACCTCGCTACTCCGAAAAAGGCATGCCATATCCATAAATCTTGAGATGCAACAACTTCTAGGATGATAGTTGGTTCATCTATATCTCCTCAAGTGAACTGACCACGCCATGCATTTGGACATTTTTCCCAAGCCACAAACGTGCAATCTAGACTGCCAAGCATACCCGGAAATCCATGACTCTCTTTATGAGTCGAATATAATCTCTCAATATCACATTGAGTAGGTTTGCACAAATATTGTTTGTGAAAAACCTGATACACACATGCAAAAAACCAATCTACACATTCAACTTCAGTCCTCTTGGATACTTTCAAGTGTTCGTCAGATGCATCAAATGTTATATCGTATCCCAAATACCAAAGAGCAGCCACACATTTTTGTATACTACTAAAACCCATTCTTCCTCTAGCGTCGGGTTTTTGTTTGAAAAAATCATAACGAGATTCTAAAGCATTACTAATACGTAAAAATATAGACTTATTCAGACGGAAACGATGTTCGAACAAGTCGTCATTATAAAGACAATTATCGGCAAAGTAACCACGTACCAATAAGTCGTGTGCGGCTTGACGATCACGATTGACAACCGTCGTTGTACGAGTACCATTCAAACTTTCTTCGTTGTGTATGTGTTGCATAACATTGAAGAATGTCTCGACGAATTTTACGTCGTCATCCGAGTCAAAAGTTTTTAAGAATTCCATGTGTTTTGTGGTTTTAAAGAATGAATGTTAGAATGAAAGTGTAAGTTTTGGTGAAAATAGAAGGTTTATTTATGTGTATTGAATTGAGTTTGAAAAAAAGAGAGGCCAAATGGCCGTTCAACGGTCGAGAAAACAATCACCAATCACCTTTTGCATTTAAACTCGTCGTCGGGAACACGAAGGACAACGACCATGCCCGACCACGATTTGTCAGGGTGGTGTGCATGAATTTTTCTCTTGGCCACATGGACCACGGATGCTCTTGTTGAGAGTATACCGTATGGTCTTAATGTATTATGCCGATTCATAAAATTTATGGATTATAATAGTAAAAGTGATGTATGTTATGAATCAATATAATTAGAGATAGAATAGTAAAAGTAATGTATGTTAAAGATCAATATAATTAGAGATTAAAAGGAAATTGAGTAATCTAATAATTATAAACGAGGTTTTCAAAAAAAAATAATTATTTTTTTTTAATAAATACTTTTCCGGAATGTCTTTATTCCAGAGTATTGTTCATATTATAATCTATTCATATCCCAGAGTATTTTTTTTAGTTGAATTTTTTTGGGGATTCCGAATGCTACATTTTGTAATGTTTTAAGTCATCTTTTTTTTTTTTTTTTTAACAAAATGTCTAATTTTTTACATTAATATTGTATATAATTCATATAATTATGTTTGTTCAAAATTTTGTTAAATTAAGCAAAAAAATGATTTTTTTTTTAAATTTCGGAGTTCTTAAAATTTAAGAGTTTTTTTTTTCCTGAAATCCAAAATTTTAGTCCGAAATCTGAAATAATGTTCCGGAATCAGTCAAAAAAATTGTTTTTCTTGTTAAATATGTCTATTCCAGAGAAAGTGGTTTATTTTGTTAATTGTGTTTGGTTATTATCTTCAAATACATATTAAAAAGTGGTTATATTGAGGAAGCTTTTAGAGTCAAAATTGATTACATATAAAGAGTAACCCATTTGCCGGTCAAAATTATGATGCTTTATTTGGAGAGCCTCCTTGGATAGAATATCTGCGATGAATGCTTCGATGATAAGGGTTATACACATTTCAAGTATTTTATGCCCTTTATGCAACAAGGAGAATGATGAATCATCATATCATCTCCTAATTACATGCAATTATACTAAGGAGGTGCAAGATAAGATTCTTAAATGGTGTGGGGTTTGAAATAGAAGATTCTTAAATATAAGAGATTTCATTGATTATGCGATTGCTTGAGGAAATTGCCCTAGGAAGAAATGGATTCTAAGCTTGTGTTTTACCGTCTTTTATGAAACATTTGGTTGAACATAAACGACAAGTATTTCTTTGTAACTTTGTTTATTTGTTATATTTCTATCGTTTTCTCTTATTGTAAAGGTACTTTTCCTCATGTTAGCTTCTTATTTGTGAGTGCCTTTTATAATATTATTTGCCGTTTAAAAAAATAAAAAATAAAAAATGGTTAGATTTCTTAATTCCCTATATTAAACTTATACTTAATTCCCTATATTAAACTTATAAATGTTTTTTTAATAAAAATAATAAATAAATAAGTAAGATAACTTAATAAATAAAGGATCTCCTCGTATATTGATACTAGTTAACAACGTTATTAATTTAGCGTGGCGAAGTAAATTGTTGAAACTTGAAAGGTATTTGGACCTAAATATCTACACCGGTCAATTTGGAACGTCTACAACCCACCAAACCAACAACCAGCCACCCCTCTCTCTCTCTGGTTAGTATACCTATACATATAAACCATGAATCTATATACAATTAAATATTTATGTCGAATCACTGAATCCATGACCCCATATCTCCAATTCCTCTTATATATATAGCACACCCGTTGGTATTCTTCACACTTCATTGCTCGTCTCGATAAACCCACTCACGCATTTGACGTGTTTCAACAAATTCTTACATACCAAGGTAAACCCACACTCCAATTCCCTCTCTTTCTTTCTCTCTCTGTGTTCTATGATTCAGAATCTTCTCTAATTTCTTGAAACTTGATAAAAGATCCAGCATTCGTTGTGTTTTGCAAACCAATTCGGTTCAACTCACCTATGTTTTTACGAGATTCAGTCCATTGTGTGATTTGATTTGTTGGTTTTGCGGAGAAATTAGAGGTTTTAGAAAACTTCACTTCAGTTTGATCTGTAGATCTGGGTTTTACTGTTGAATTAGGTAGGGTTTTATGTTTAAGTATTGAAATCGGATGTTCTCAGACCTGTAGATCAGGATCAGTTCTTTAATCACTGGATACTGAATCAAACTTGTCGTTTTTATCATGATCTGATTTGGTGATCGATCCACTTGAAGCTCAGCTAATTGGGTTAGATTCAGAAAAAAAAATGTTTTTCTGATTTCGAAACCTAGTGGGACCCACATGGAATGTACCATCTGCCTTACTGCTTGTACATTTAATGCTCTTTAAATTTGCTGTATTAAGTTCATTTTTCACAACTTCTCACTCTCACAAGATAGATTTTTTTAATGGTATACAACAATTCATTGCATCTGTAGTTGTGTCACAAGCATTTATATCATAAAGACCCAAAATTGGGTTAATTAGTTATCTGTCATTTTATGAACATTGAAGAAAAGGGCACACACACACAGTACCCCACAATAGAGCAGGAATTTGGGGGTATCTGTAGTGGCGATTCTGGATTTTTCTACCAGACGATGCACAACAAGAACATGTTTTTATTTGCTTTCTTTTAATTTTCAAAAAGACTTCTCTTTTATGTCAAATTGTTTACTTTTTTGCTTATTTTGTATTTACAGGTGTTTTTGAGCAAGCACCGATGGCGACAGGGCAACTTTTCTCCCGTACAACACAAGCTTTGTTCTATAACTACAAGCAGTTGCCAATTCAGCGCATGCTTGATTTCGACTTCCTTTGTGGTATGTCAAATTACCTTTATCCCCTCAATACCCAATTCGCTAGAGAACTTATTGCTGCTTTATTTATTTTTATGTTTGTAAGGTTTCAAACTTCTGACTAACTTTTAACTCAATTAGGGAGAGAAACACCTTCAGTTGCTGGAATCATTAACCCTGGTGCTGAGGGATTTCAGAAACTATTTTTTGGCCAAGAAGAGATTGCAATTCCAGTTCATTCCACGTATGTCTTCTTTGTCAATATGATTAACAAATTTAAATATGATCCAATTTTATGTGATGATGTTACAGAAGTATTTGAGAAATGGAATAGATAAAGGATGAGGGTAAATTTGTAAAAAGTTAGGATCTAACCCTCACTTTCATTATTAAATGGTTCTATGCTTTTGCAGAGTTGAAGCTGCTTGTGCTGCGCATCCTACTGCAGATGTATTTATAAATTTCGCATCCTACAGAAGGTCAGTTGAAAGCTGCTTTTGCAAATTTTATATTTATTAAAAGTTTTCAAGTTGCAAGAAGTAATGATATTAATTATTTCCCCACAAACGTTTTTTTCAAGAACTTGGTTGTTGGTTAGTGACATCAACAAAACATTTATAACGAAAAAAACTTCTGAAAAGGCACCAAAATGTTACACAAATGGCACACTTCAAACAAGGACCAAAATTGCATGAAAAACTTAGCGGGACCAAGTTTGCAAAAATTCCCTATAGTCAGGGACCATTTTTGTAATTTAGTCCTGTTTCAACATTTGAACAAAATAGAAACTTGGTTACCATAAACCCACAAATTCATATTGTAAAAGCACATACATAAATTCACAATAAAACAATTGTTTTTTATTTACAACAGTGCTGCTGCTTCATCCAATCTTGCCCTCAAACAACCCACCATCAGAGTTGTGGCTATTATAGCTGAAGGTGTTCCTGAATCTGACACCAAGGAATTGATTGCATACGCAAGATCAAACAACAAGGTAAATAAAATGGGACCCACATTCTAAAATTTCACTTTCAACATATAAATATATCTATTAACAGTAATGATTTTGCAGGTTGTTATTGGGCCAGCAACTGTTGGTGGGGTTCAAGCTGGAGCTTTCAAGATTGGTGACACTGCAGGAACAATTGATAACATTATTCAATGCAACTTTACAGGCCTGGATCTGTTGGATTTGTCTCCAAATCTGTATGTTATTTTTTTTCTCATTTGTGTGATTACGTTTTCGTCCTTTCAAAGTGTTCATGGAGAAAATATGACTCTATGATTTGTTTAACTTCAGGGAGGCATGTCAAATGAGCTGTACAACACAATTGCCCGTGTCACGGATGGACTTTATGAAGGTAGAAAGATAAACACGAAAACTTTATTTTACATCTGTCACTGTCATTATCACTGTCAGATGCTCTAAATATAATAATGGTTTTGTAGGTATTGCAATTGGAGGAGATGTTTTCCCCGGTTCTACTCTTTCGGATCATGTTTTGCGGTTCAACAACATTCCTCAGGTACGTTGACATTGTGGTAAATTACGGTTATACCCTCTTTTGCAATATGCATAAGTCTTAACGTGTTTGTTTGGGAAAATTCAGATCAAAATGATTGTTGTGCTTGGGGAACTTGGTGGGCGAGATGAGTACTCGTTAGTTGAAGCTCTTAAAGCGGGAAAAATCAATAAGCCAGTATGTGCTTGGGTCAGTGGGACTTGTGCCCGCCTTTTCAAGTCTGAAGTCCAATTCGGGCATGCGGTAAGCCTCTTGCCTTTCTTTGAAGGGTAGAATCGTAATTTCACTTTGTTTATCCGTTTTTTTTAAAAATGTTTTCTCAATGAAATTAATATCAGGGGGCTAAAAGTGGAGGTGAAATGGAGTCTGCACAAGCTAAAAACCAAGCTCTGATGGATGCCGGTGCCATTGTCCCAACATCATATGAATCATTTGAAGCCTCCATTAAGGAAACATTCGCCAAATTGGTATTATATATATATATGTCTCTTTTAACACTTCTTAGGGCTGTTTTCGTCAATTCCCATCTTTTCAACTCAACTCATGTCTTGTCTTATGGATTCTTTTTTATTTTTCCATTTTTGTTCCATAAATTGATTTTTTTTGGGTGTTTTTTTTTTTTTTTTTTTAGGCGGAAGAGGGAAAGATTAGCCCTGTCAAGGAGATCACGCCTCCCCAAATCCCAGAGGATCTTAACTCTGCAATCAAGAGCGGGAAAGTACGAGCACCGACTCATATTATTTCCACCATCTCCGATGACAGAGGTAAAACACCAAACCATGTAAAATGACCATTTTGCCCCCCATCACTTCTTTTCCCGCTGGTGATTAAAGATTCTCTTTTTCTGAATTTTTAGGTGAGGAGCCATGCTATGCTGGCGTACCGATGTCTTCCATTGTTGAAAAAGGAATGGGAGTCGGTGATGTCATTTCACTTTTATGGTTCAAACGCAGTCTTCCCCGCTACTGCACACAATTCATCGAGGTTTTTTTTGTTGTTTTTTAAAAAAAAAAAGAATTTTTATTTATTTATTTATTTATATTTTATAATTCCATCTCATATATTTATTTGTTATATGATTTATTCACCAGATTTGTATCATGTTATGTGCCGATCATGGGCCATGTGTCTCCGGTGCTCACAACACCATTGTAACCGCTAGGGCAGGAAAAGATCTCGTATCCAGCCTTGTTTCCGGTACTTCACTTTGAACCAAATTTTATAAAAAAAAAGTAATAGCGATAAGAGTTTTATAAAATACTGAGTTATTTAATTTCTGATTTGTGAAACAGGTTTGCTGACTATTGGTCCACGTTTTGGTGGTGCTGTTGATGATGCTGCTCGATACTTCAAAGATGCCTACGATAGGGTGAGTCGAGTTCATGGATTTGGATTCCGTACCTAATTATATATTATAAGAGTATATTACAAGAACGGTCCTTGGTTTTCACAGTATTTTGCAATTTAGGGACCTGAACTGTCAATATGTTTTTAATTTTGGTCCTTATTACTTATTTCCTTTCAACTTTGGGACCTTTTGTATGAGCGTTAATTTCAAATATTTTGAGAAACTCAAGGACCATTCTCGTAGCTTATTTTAAATATAACGGAAAACACGAAATAAGGACAAAGTGTTTGAGATCTTAATTTTTTAATTTGTGTTTTCTTTTTCTTAACAGAAACTTTCACCATATGAGTTTGTTGAAAGCATGAAAAAGAAGGGTATTCGGGTGCCCGGAATTGGTCACAGGTACGTTATTTATAGAACACGTTGTAATGTATTTGACATGCACTAGAATGAGACAAAATTTGCAAATTTTTGTCTCACGAAAAATGATGGGACTCAATCTCTTGTCTTTGAAAAGACGTAAATGCCCTAGAAAGCTTGTTTATACCTGTTTACTATGATTCCCTAATTTAATAATGTATGTTTGGTGGTTGTAAAACAAAGGATCAAGAGAGGGGATAACAGAGATAAGAGAGTGGAGCTACTACAACTATTTGCACGAACAAATTTCCCATCAACCAAGTACATGGAATATGCGGTTGAAGTAGAAACTTACACTCTCTCAAAAGCAAACAACTTAGTGATGAATGTTGATGGTGCCATTGGTACCCTTTTCTTGGATCTTCTTGCGGGTAGCGGACTCTTCACCAAACAAGAAATCGATGAGATTGTCAGCATCGGTTACCTCAACGGTCTCTTTGTCTTGGCACGTTCCATTGGTCTCATCGGGTAAGTCAACTTCCATTCCAATTACAACAAATAGCAACATACTTTCATTTGTCTTAAATTAACGACTAAGGTTGTACCTTCTGCATTATTGTTTGTACTTTGTCTATGGTGAATGAATGCTGATGGTTTGAAAATTTGTAGGCATACGTTTGACCAGAAGAGGTTGAAGCAACCACTATACCGTCACCCATGGGAAGATGTTCTTTACACCAAGTGATTGTTCTGTGTTGTATTGTAATAGTAATACTAATGCATCATTGTTGGATGTATTTCCTTTTGTTTGTTTGTATCATTTAGCTTATGGCTTTCTATTTCGATTGTTATGTGGAGGGAGTCTTGAGTCTTGTTTCGGAACTTTACAAAAAATAACACAATCATGGAGCATTTTTCATTCTCTTGTACTAGTTTCTTTGTAATTGTTAATGATATCTTTGTTTCTGTTGAATGAAGATCTATAAAAAGCATAAATATTTCAAAATCAAAATTATCAGAATTATATATCGACATTCAATTTCGATTTATCAAAGTAGAATATTAATGATGTTAATTCGAACGCGAGAAGCTCGGATTTTTGAAGCTGATAGTCTTCAGACTCTTTATTTAATCAAAACAGGACATCAACATTACAAATAAAGGTGCAGGTATTTAAAGACTTTTAAACATAAACCTATTAGAACAGACTTTTGACACAAGGAAACAAAACAAATAAATAAGGAAAGAAAATAAAGAAAATAAAAAAAGACTCAACATTAATAAAACTTATTAACCAATTACTTGAGCTCTACCCTTTCTCTTTGTTGTTACGGACCAACTAGACCATAGCCACCTCATCATTCTCCCCAAGTTGAATGAAACTCGACCTTGAGTTCAGGGTAGGATATAAAGGATCATCAGGATGAAATGCGGATAAATCGGAGACATTAAAGGTGGAGCAGATGGAAAGATCATCAAGTAAGTCGATAACATAAGCATTATTATTGATGCGCTTTAAAACTTTGCAAGGTCCAATCTTCTTCATCTTCAACTTGTTGTACGTACCAACCGGAAAGCGTTCCTTGCGTAAGTGCACCATTACTAAATCTCCCTCATGAAAAAGCTTTTCCCTTCTACTCTTGTCATGTGCGTACTTATATGTAGCATTCGACGTTGCAAGTTTATTCTTAACTTCAAATTGTGTTGCTTCCATTTTCTGAGTGAAATTTTCGGCGACAAGACTATGGCCCGGAAGCTTTGGAAGCGCAATAAGATCAACGACATGCTTGGGAGGGCGCTGGTAAACGATTTGGAACGGGGATTTGCCCGTGGATTTGTTGATCATGTTATTAAAAGCGAACTCAGCAGACACTAAGAATTGATCCCATTGCTTTGGCCGATCCCCACAAAGACATCTAATCAAATTACCTAGAGTCTTGTTAACAACTTCTGTATGACCGTCTGTTTGCGGATGAAATGAGGTACTAAACTGAAGAGCAGTTTGAAACAGACGCCATAATGTCCTTCACAAATGACTTTAAAATTTAGTGTCATGATCAGAAGTGATGGTGGAAGGAACACCATGTAAGTGTACCAACTCGCGAAATAAAATGAGCCGTTTTAGAAAAACAATCCACCACCACAAAGATGAAATTGTTACCCCGAATGGTCTTAGGCAATACTAACACAAAATCCATGGAGATGTCTTCTCAGGGACCACCGGGAATGGGAAGAGGAGTGTATAAACCGGTATTTTGAGCTTGACCCTTGGCAGTTTGACAAACAATACATTTAGCGACATATCGACCAACATCACGACGTAACTGCGGCCAATAGTAACATTCCTCTAGTAAAACGGACGTCTTGTCTCGTCCAAAATGTCCTCCCAAACCACCGCCATGCAACTCCTTAATAAGTTCCTCACGTAAAGAAGTGCAAGGAATACACAGACGATTATTGTAGAAAAGATAGCCAACAACTTTCAACATAGGAGGTTGTATCGGATTGTTCCAAATGTCCTTAAAATCTTCATCATCGGCATATAATTCTTTTAAGAGGTCAAACCCAATAATACTTGATTTCAAGGTGACCAACAAATCAGCTCGTCGACTTAAAGCATCCGCCACCTTACTTTGCTCCCTGGATTTATGTTTCAAAACAAAAGAAAAACGTTGAAGATACGAAATCCAACATCCATGCATACGATTAATTTTCTATTGACTGTTAAAATATTTTAACGCTTGATGATCGGTAAAAAGAACAAAATCTTTGTGAAAAAGATATTGCTCCCAGTGCTGAATAGAACGATAAATTGCGTAAAATTCCAATTCATAAATGGACCACTTTTGTCTTTCCTCGCTAAGCTTTTCACTAAAAACCGCAACAGGCTTGTTTTCTTGTGACAAGACAGCCCCAATGCCAACAATAGAGGCGTCACATTCGATTGTAAAAACTTTATCGAAATTTGGCAAGGCTAGGAGGGGAGCGGTAGTTAACTTTTCCTTGATAATGGCAAAACTTCGAGTGGCCTCCTCGCCCCACTGGAACTGTCCTTTCTTCATGCATTGTGTAATTGGTTCCATGATGGAGCTAAAGTTGCGAACAAATCGTCGATAAAAAGTGGCGAGACCATGAAAGCTACAAACCTCACTAATAGCGCGTGGAATTGGCCAATCTTGAATAGCTAGAATTTTCTCATCATCAACGCGGATCCCAGAAGCCATAATCATGAAACCCAAAAATAATAAATGATCAGTAAGGAAAGTACATTTTCTTAAGATTTAGATATAGCTTGTTCTCGGCCAGGGTAGAAAGACCTGCTCGTAAATGTAGCAAATGATCGGCTTCTGATTTAGTATAAATGAGTCTATCGTCAAAATAAACTACCACAAAAGAACCGAGAAAAGGTTTGAGGACCTGATTCATTAAACACGTTAAAGTGCTTGGAGCATTAGACAAACCAAATGGCATGACCAACCATTCGTAGAATCCATCCTTCATTTTGAATGTCGTTTTCCATTTGTCGGCCACACGCATACGAATTTGGTGATAACCGCTACGGAGATCAAGCTTGGAAAATAGTTGTGAACCTTCCAGCATATCAAGCATGCCGTTGAGACGCGGAATGGGAAAACGATAAGCCATAGTAATTTTATCATTAGGTCTACTTGTTGGATTAGTGTCTAAGTCCATAACTATTTTGGTATGTACTTGACCCGATTGTGCATGGTCCTTTTGGGTTGCCTTCACCAAAGCAACTTGATAGGATGAATTATGGAGAGAGAGGATTAATTATGATTTATTAATATATTATGAGAATAATATATTAAAGGAGAAATCATATTGTTTAATTTATATTAGTCAAGAATGAATAAGAATTAATTTTGTGGCTAAAAGATATTAATTAAATAAAGGGGACTAGAATTGTCAATTGTGTGATAGTTGAATATTGGGCTAATGGACTCCATAAAGGATGGAGTGGACGAATTCTATGAGGAAACCCATTAGAAATCGTCCAAGGCCTCTAAGGAGGGAGTCTATAGATTGCTTAGGGCCTAAGCAGTCAAATTAGGGTTTCCTTGTTATATAACCTTAATAGCCTCATTATTTAAGGATCCCTAGGGCACCAAAAACGTGGCCAACTAATTCCTTAGGGTTTCTACACATTTTTGGGTGCCTTCTCTCTTATCATTCTTCATCCTCTTGCTCTTGGTGTTTGTGAGCCATTAGAGGAGTGACACTTGTGACTCTAAGCTTTCTAAAGCCATTACAAAGGAGGATATGAGATTGTTATTGCTACATAACAATCAAGGTAAGATCTAAACCCCAATCTTATGTTAATATGATTAATTGTATGCTAGATTTAGGGTTTACAACTTTAGATATTCAATTGCATGTTCATTAGACAAACTAGATCCAAAAGCTATTAGGGTTTGCATGTACACCATATGAATGATGTTTTGCTTAAAACCCATCAGTGGTATCAGAGAGCCAGTGCTGTTTGTTTGATGTATTGGATGCTATTATGTATTATCCTTGCTTAAAATTCTAAATTTAGGGTTTCTGGGGGCTGCACTCGCCGAGTCCATAGATGAACTCGCCGAGTCCATGCCTGACTCGACGAGTCAGCTGGTCAGAAAGAGGGAAAATCAGGATTTTGTGCTATTTTGGCTGTGGGATAGTTACCAAAACGTTTTTTATTGATATAAATCAGATTTTTATGATATTGGGTGATTATCTTTGCCATAATTAAAGATAACTTCATATTAGTTAAATAATAATTTCCTTATATGATTAGATCTAATTATTTGAATTATTTGGTGAATTATCTTGCAAGAAATTGGACTAGGTCAAATTAGATAACTACCAATTAATAGTTAATTGCCTTATTTGAATTTTGTGATCTAGAATATTCTTGATAAAGTTTGGAAAAGTTTTAAATTAATCCCTTTAGGTTTTATAGTTTAAATTTGAACTTAAAAGTTTTGTTTTTGAAATTTAAATAAGTTAAACCCTAATGTTTTGAAATGTTTTAAAACTTGCCCTCAAGTTTTGGAATTTAAAAGTTGATTATAAGTTTAATTTAGAAATGTTAAATTCTAAAACCCTAGTATTGTTTTGAAAAGTTCAAATCACACCCTTATGGTTTTATTAATTAATTAAGGTGTATAGTTAAAAGAGATTTAATAAATCCATAAAGTTTTGGTTCACATTTAGTTAAATTAAAAGTATAATTTATTAAATTAGACCACCTAGTATTTTAAAAGTGTAAAATACACCCTTATACTATATATAACATTAAAAGTCTAATATTATATGTATAAGTTAAATTGCTAGTCTTATCGTTAGTAGGCCTCATTCGCGAAGCTGGTCTATAAGGGGTGTTTAAGGAAATTGCCTATAAAATGGTGATTGAATGGGTATCCACTCTTACCCACCACACTCTTGACTAGTGGAGGGTCGTTAGCCGAACGGGTAGGATAGGGAAAACCATTTCCATTAAAAGTATAATCAAGTATAAAGTAACTAAAAGTTTATACAAAATTCCCAATCTTAGTTACTTAAGGCAAAAGTAAATTGATGCAATTCCATGAAATTACACTTTGTGCCCTTGCAAAGATGTTAGTGGAGCGTGTGTGGTTAATCGGCACACTAAATGGTTCTAAGCAAAGGTAGTAAAGGGTGACTCAATGTTTATCATAGTTCGGTGGAGCGTGTGTGGTTAACTGGCACATCGAATAGGTGACTGTAATATTGGGGGCACCATGTAAGTTTGCATGGTTATTCACACCCTGTTTTGTGATCCTCGGCATCCCAGTCGCAAATCGAGGAGTACATCGAGATTTTAACATGCCATTGAAAAGTTTAATGAATCTCAAAGGATCTAGGAGTTTTTCAATACATTTAAAACATAATCTCTTTTTTGTTTTTTCATGATGGAAAATTAGTGAATCGTCATTCACTTACCTTCAAATGTTCTGCAATTTGGGTTACGACATCCATATCCCAAGT